CCCAGTACACTTAATATTTATAGTATGCCATAAAGCAGTTTCTGTGTCTAATAGGGTTCATATTTAATGACAATCATCTCTCCCTTTTAATCTCTCTGGATGAAATCTTGGCCTAGTGAAATCCACTGGAGTTTTTCTATTGACTTTAATGAGCCAGGGATTTTATCCTCTAATGAGTACAAAACACAGTCTTATTTGATACTTATTTAATTTAAAAACTATGTGCTAACTACCAAAAATATTTAACATACTAAGACTCGGTTCTTATCCATTCTTTGCCCTTCCAAATATATGTTCAGATGTTGTCCTGAAATTATACATCGAAAAAAAGTTTTGCCATTTACTTCTCTAAATTGAATGTGTCCTTTTATGTGTGGCAGTTGATATAATTGATTTTTAAGAAAAAAAGTCTTAATTCTCAAAATTTTACTGTTCACAAGAGACTATTACCCCCCCACCCTTAAACTTACATTACAATAATAAATGATTATGCCTTCATGTGCTAAAAATACCTTTAGTTCATTTTTTCTGCTGAAATGTCTTATTTTTTATTTCAGGGTATGATACCTTTCTGTCCTATGTGGGCATTGGGGAATGTACTTCCTTTCTAAAAATTATGCTTAAAAGATTTTCTAGGTAAAGTTAGAAAAAAATGGAAAGATTTTTAAACCACTTAATATGGACTTAAAATTCTAACATATACACGTTTGTCCTTTAACTTTTCTAGTTATCTCTAATGGCATTTTAACACTGTTTATAATTTGGGATCATAAGTTTTCCTATCCTGCCTGGCACTGCAAATCTTTGAGTTGATTTTGATCATGTTTGGCCAAACGGATTGGAAGATCAGATCATTCCCTTACCTATTAATCATCTGTGTAAGGAAAAGGAAACTATAAGGTTTGCACAGAACCAGGGGCTCTGCATTCAGAACTTCCCAAACCTCAATGGTGGGCTCTGGAGGTCACGTAGTGGCCCTATCATCATTCTGGCATTCCACTCTGTCCCCACATCCTGCTGTAGCCATCCTTTCTTAATGAATATTTTATTAATTTGAAGTTAAATGGCTATATGGATAGATGGGCAGAATAAAATAAGCAGAGACTTGCTTTAGCAACTGAATATTTTAGAGTAACCTCATGGAAGCACTGAAGTTAGTAGATTTACACCAATGTAAAACTGGTATAAGTAAAGCCAAAATCCTGAGTCAGACTCTCCTAAGGTCATGGACCTTTCACTTCCAACTGTGTCTTTATGAGTATAGACAGAAGTGACAATGTGTGCCCAATCTGGCCCCTGAAAGTGCTCTACAGCTGTGACCAAACAAGTGCATGACTGCAAAGCACTATAAGAGGGCCCCATCACAAGAAAATCTGAACCCTCATTTCATGAGAGTTCAGGTGCAGAATGGAGCAGCTTCAGTAACTTACGTCTGAGCAGACTCTCAGCCTTGGAGTTGTTTTCAGCATGGGAGAGGGGAAAGACTTCATAGACTTCATAGACATTTGGGCTGGAAGGGACCCCGGAGGATCATCGAGTCCAGTCCCCTGCTCCAGGGGCAGAAAGCAGGGATCATAGGATCCCAGCAAGATAAGCATCTAAATGTGTCTTGAAGGCGCTCAAAGTGGGTGCCTGAACCACCTCCGGCTGCAGTCTATTCCAAACCTTGGGGGCTCGGACAGTGAAGAAGTTCTTTCTTATGTCCAGCCTGAATCAGTCGTGGCAGAGTTTGTGACCGATCGATCTTGTCATCCGTTGGGGCGCTCTGGTGTCCTAATGAGCACCCTTGATAAACTTATAGGGGCCACCAGATCACCCCGAGCCTGTGCTTTTCCAGGCTGAAGACCCCATGGCTCTCAGCCTCTCATCATAAGGTCTGTTTTCCTGACCTCTGATCATGTGCGTGGCTCTCCTCTGGACTCTCTCAAGCTTCTCCACATCCTTTTTTAATTGTGGAGCCCAAAACTGGATGAAGTACTCCAGCTGCAGCCTCACCAAGGCTGAGTACAACTGGAGAATGATGTCCCGGGATTGGCTTGAGAAGCATCTGTGGATGCAAGCCAGCATTTTGCTCGCTTTACTAGCCGCATCATCACACTGAAGGCTCATGTTCATCTTGTGGTCAATCATGACCCCAAAATCCCTTTCATCTGTAGTGCTAACCAGCATAGCACTGCCAAGCCTATAAGCATGCTGCAGGTTTTTCCTCCCAAGGTGGAGAACCTTGCATTTTTCAGTGTTGAACACCATCACGTTCTCATCTGCCCATTTCATGAGCCTGTCAAGATCCACCTGCATCACCCTCCTGTCCTCAGGTGTGGATTTTGGCATGTGTTTGGTGTCATCGGCAAACTTGGCCAGTCTGCTTCTGACACCAGTGTCCACATCATTGATGAAGATGTTAAATAGTATAGGCCCTTGAGGGATGGAGCCTTGAGGGACCCCCCGCGCACCAAGACGACTGGCTTCCGTCGACCACCACCCTCTGGGTCCTACCATGGAGCCAATTCCCCAGCCAGCGGATCATGGTGAGGTCGAGGCCACAGTTAGCCAGTTTAGCCAAGAGGTGATCGTGGGATGCCAGATCGAAGGCTTTTTTAAAGTCAAGATATACAACGTTGATCTCTTCCCCCTTGTCCAGGTGATAGCAGAAGGAGTTCAGTCTCGGGGGTTTTCAGCTTGTGCTGGAGGATGGGGTGGATGAATTGGAGCCCCCCCCGACCCTGAGGTGGGGAGGCTCCAATCCATCCACCCCATCCTCCAGCACTAGCTGGGGAATTCTTGAATGAGCTCCCTCTTCTTTCTTTCCTCCTCTGGAACCAACAGTGAACTTCTGTTTGGTTGGGGGATCCTTTAACTCAGAACACTTCCTGTAAAACATTATGAGTTACAGCAGGGAGCTACCCTTCTGTCCTGTGCCCTTTATGTGGACCTCATTTAGAAGCCCACTCTTCCTGTTGCTTGATTTTGGGTTTGCTGATCTGGTTTCTGATTTTTTTCATTTGCCTCATGAACTATATACACTTGGTCCTGCATTCCTGACTCTGGTTTTCTAAGCAGTTCCATTCATCTTCACAGAAGCGTCCAAACAGATGATCAAAACATCTCATTCATTGAGTGCTGGATGTAGTCACAAATCCACCTAACCCAAACAGCATTTCAGACTGACATAGTTAAGGTACACCAGTTCCCATAGCCCATGACACATGAGAGAGTGCTTGACATTATATCTTTCCGCTTTGCCTAACCAGCCTGAATGGCCAAATACTCACTTATATCTCAGCTGACTGAGGTCAGCCTTCAGTCCTGACCAGGGCTTGAATTTAAGTATCTGACACTATACCTTAACTATTCTGCCATCATACCTCAACAATGGATATAGCAAAAGAAGCTAAATAAAAAGAATCAAATAGCACTTCCCAAGAAAATATCTTCCTTCTTCTGATTCCACCTTCTTTATTTCAAGCAATGATTTCAATAGAGTAAGTAAACTGCCTTCAAGTTGTCGCCCAGCCCTCAAAGAGAAATTGTCCGCAGGTGAAAATTAAGATGCCATTAGCAGAGGAGGTTAGATTGGAGCAAATTTTACTTACATTTTTATGATCTCATATTTAAAAGAAATGGCAAAAGATTGTTAAAATTTACCCTTTGCTTTTGTAATGCATCCATGTATTATATTGTATAATGGTGGTATAATAGTATTTGTAAATGAAACAAAAACCTGATAGAAAGAGTTCATGGTATTACTGGAGGAGCAAGTAACAAGACAATAGGAAACTGTTTTTTTTGTTTGAGTTTTTTTTTGTGCAAAATTAGGCTGATACAAAAAGTAATTTCAAATAGTGTTGATTTCTTTTTATGCAACTCCAAGTACTTGTTTAAATTATCAGATAATATTATAAAACCTGGCAGGCCCACACATTGAGAGTCCCATGAATGCCACAGACCTCATTTGAGGTACACCCTTGAGAGCCCTTAAATGAAAGTTCAGTCCATGTTTTGTTACTGAAAACAGAAATTCAGTAAAAAGGACTCATTTTTATAAAAACAACATTATGGCTAGTCTCTTGAGAAGTCTAGGTTTAGGATAGTAAAGACTGTGAAATGTAAGCACTTAAATAAAAGTTGTCTGATTTTCAAAGCCATCTACAAATCCCTTGGTACCAGACCATGATGGCTTAAGGACAGAAGTACAAAAGTAGAAGGTCACACAAAGTAATCCTTGAAAGCATAGGGACCCTTTCACTTTTGTCCCTAGAGAACATTTTCCTAGGCAAGCACAGAGTTAGAGAGGAACCAAGGGCAAGCACCCTTCCCTTCACTCTACTTCAGCCTTCAAAGCTGGAGTGGTGCAACAGCAGAAGCCCAATCCTTGAAGCCAAGCAGAAACAGCACTGCATTGCCTAGCCATCAGTCAAGCCAAGTGTAGGGACATGGCAGGAGCAGCAGGGGTCTTTTGAGTCCCCCAGGGCAGGTAAGTGCAAGGCTACTCCTGCAGTGTCCCAACACCCAGCTTCTATAGCTGAGCAGCACAAGGCTTTTCCAGATCCACTCCTACAACTGGAGGGGGAGGTACAGATGCAACAAAAGAGTGTTCACCCCCTCCCCACCTTACCTTTTCCTCTTGAAGTTTTGCTAAGGGAATCAAAACTTATAGTTACACCTCTGGAGATGTAATTTCAGGCTGGGACATCCATAAATGGTACTAGTACACCAATAAAGCAAATACAGGTATTTAGGTTCTTAGCAAGCTTTTAATGATCCCTTATGTTACCATGTTTCCAAAGAAAAGAACTTGGATAAAAATCCTGAGGTAATGGTGGAGGAAAACTACTGCATTTACAATTTGTTTTGCAAAAGTAAAAGACCATAATAATGCTAAATGTGTGCAGATAAAGTAAGAGTTATTTATAGAGATTTCTGAACCTCACCTCATGCTTTTTATTTTAGTCTCCTTGTTTACTCATTTAAATTAACAGATTTTCCTTTCTGTACAGAGAATGGCTCCAAGTCTTACTTCTACTATAAATTATACTGATCCTACATTAGAGCCTGTAGTAACTGAAAACACAGCGATACGACAGAAGATAATAGATTCACAGTACAAATGCTATGAGAGGATGAACAGAGCTCCTCCCTATAGAAAGAAAGGTAAAAAAGAGAAAAACATCTGATCCTACATTGACATGTTTTCTTTATCACTGTAAAGGAACATTTCCTTCTGTGTGCTGATGCATAGTCTTCCTGTTAGCCCTTCCAGTTAGTACTAACAGACTTTACATGAATTTAACACCCTTTTATGAGTCTCAGGAAGGAAAGGCCTTGGAGTACTTGGTGGAAGTGAATTATCCTCTCACCACTGGAGATTATTGCTCTGTCACATAAATGAGGCATATTGTTGACTCAGTGCGGTGAGACTTGAGTTGCTGCTGTTCATGCTTAGGGAATGTCTATTTCTAGGACTGTCAGTTCAGTCATTTTCATACAACTACTTCAGAGAGAAAATATAAATAAAAATGTCTCAAATATAGATGTAAATCTATCCGTTTCCCTCAACTTATTTTCCCATAATTGGTCCATTATATGACATCTTTCTGGGCTCTAAATGTCTAAATATTTTGCACCAACTGTATCGGCACAAAGATTTATGGAAAAATCCAGATTGGGCCTCTTCAGGCGTGTCCAGTTTAGGTTTAAGCATGTTTAAAGGTTAGGTGCCAGACCCTAGGAAGTGTCAAAGAAATGGGGTTGAGCTCATAGGCTCTGTAGGGAGTCAAAAGGTAGTTAGACATCTCTGAAGGGCAATTCAGAGAGCCCAGATACTGAGCAGAGAGCCACACGAAGATAAGTAATAAGAATCATTAAGCAGAGGGTTGTGTCTGAACTCCGAAGATTCTCTGGGACTTAGATGTCTGACATTTGCTCAGATTTGTATTGTTCCTTAAGCACCTATACTAAAGCATTGTTCAATTTAAACATTAGGCTCCCTGCTCCAAAGGTCAAGTCAGTCAGACCCAGTTTGGAACTTAGCATTCCTATACAGTCAATGGAGGGAGTTTGCAGGTACCTAAATTCAGGTTTAGGTGTGTAGGAACCTTATATAGAGACTAGGAACTCACAGATGCCTCCAAAAGATCATTCAGTAAGTTCAGAGGCACCGTTAGGCAAACAACAGGAAATGCTAACCATAGAGATGTGCCAGAATTCCTGCCCCTCTCCAGAGTTCAGGGTTTGGATGCATGACCTGCATGACCTTGTATAATTTACGCTCATTTTGAGCTCCTAGAGCATAGTGCTTATGAAATTCCCTTTGTTGTTAGCACTGTTTATGTGCTTTGCATTGGTTAAAAAACAGAAATAACCCTAGCTGCATGAAGTAGAATAAAGAGGCATATTGTAACTACAGTATAACAGGAACATCACTATCATTTACTCCTTTTCTGGTCCCATAAGCCTTGCAGTATTGGTAGCCTAGCTTCAGTAGAGGGGCATTTGCCTATTTGATAGTTTTTTTGGGTAAAAAAGTAAGAGATGTGGGTTTGAATTCCCTCAAGATGAAGAGGGCCTAAGAACCCTATCCTCCCACTACTTAGACAAATCTTCAAGCCATTAGGCAAGTGGGAAAAAGATAGACATCAACACCAAGCTGAATGAAATGCTACCAGTGGGAATTAGGTGTATATTTTTCCCCCAATCAACAGAAGCCTCTCCATGCAGGGACTTCAGCAGCATTCAAATTACCTACTAAGCAACAATGTAAATTGCTGGGGAACTTTGGAAGGAATTGAGTTTCATGCTGCACCTAGACATGCCACCTAAAACACTTTGGAGCATGCACAGAAGACATATAGTTTAGATTTGGGTGGAACTGTGCAGAATCAAAAGGAGGCGTCCAGTGAGTTTTGTGGCCATTAGAGGAGGAATTTCTCTTTGGAACTTTCATAATTTTCCTAAGAGGACAAGAGTTAAACTCAGATACTGGATTAAGAGTCCAGAATGATAATCATTATACCATGGAAACTGTCTGGTATAGACTGGCAATTCATGCATTCTTCAGACTGACAACCAGACTGAAGCCATGACATTTGGTACTGGCTAGATTCAAAACACATTTTTTTTTTTTTATTTCTTAGAAGGGTGATCTTGGGCAATGGTGAGAAAACTGAGATTTTTTCCAACATTGATGAATAACAGTTCCAATATAGCTTGCATAAAATAGAATCTTCCTCTAGACATTGACATCCCATAAAAGGGCTGGATTAGCTTAACAGGACTTTACATATCTTGGGTGCAGACAGGAAGGATCCCTTAGTACAGGAGTTGCAGATGAGAGCTGTAAGATGACATGCAGAGGAGAAGAGGACACCCCCCGCCCCCAAGCTGTATTTTAGGCAGCCTGGCAAGAGGGTGAAGCCTCAACGTGAAAAGGTGTGAAGATTCTGTATACTGCTGAAGTCCCTAGGGCAGCCTGGGAGTTTGCTATAACGTAGATAGGTGCCCAGGTCTTTCTAAGTTAGGTCTGTGTCTCTCCAGTCCCCAAATTAACTTGTGACTGGTGCAGCAGAGGCAACCTAAATTCCCTTTGCTCCGAGGCTATGAATCACTGCACACAAAACTACTCTGAGTGACTTCTGGCAAAAAAAGTATTTTTTAGTTTATATTTCTGAAATTGTTTTTCCTCTGTGGCAGGTATTATTCTATTCAAATTGAAATTTCTGTATAGGACCTGGAGGTTACAGTGGACAATAAGCTGAATATTAGCCAACAGTGTGCCCTTGTTGCCAAGAAGGCTAAGGGCATACTAGGCTGCATTAGTAGGAGCCTTGCCAGTAGATTGAGGGAAGTGATTAGTCCCCTCTATGATAAGTAGAGGACACCTCACATCTGGAGTACTGTGTCCAGTTTTGGCCCCCCACTACAGAAAGGATTGGAGAGAGTTTGGCAGGGGGCAACAAAAATGGTTAGTGGGCTGGGACAGATGTCTTACAAGGAGAGGCTGAAGGAACTGGGCTTATTTAGTCTGGAGAAGAGAAGACTGAGAGGGGATTTAATAGCAGTCTTCAACAGTCTGAAGGATGGTCCAAAGAGGTTGGAGCTAGACTGTTCTCAGTGGTTGGTGGCAGATGACAGAACAAGGAGAAATGATCTCAAGTTGCAACAAGGAAAGTAAAGGTTAGGTACTAGGAAAAACTCTCTCACTAGGAGGGTAGTAAAACACTGGAACAGGTTACCCAGAGAAGTTGTGGAATCTCCATCCTTGGAGGTTTTTAAGACCCGGGTAGACAAAGCCCTGTCTGGAATGATCTAATTGGAGATGGTGCTGCTTTGAGCAAGAGATTGAACTAGAAGACCTCCTGAGGTCCCATTCAACCCCAATTTTCTATGATTCCATTTTATCACTTTATATGTGTACACTTGATATATCTGGTGGGAAAAATATTGTCATGTTATTTTCCCTGAAAGCCTGTAGAGCATATCAAACAACAACAGTGTATTTCATGTCAAGACATAACATGTGTTTTAAAAATTAAGCATAGAAATTTCCTACAAAGCCCAGATTTCAGTATCTTTCACAAACATGCTTAAAATGCATTCTGCTTCTGCTGTTTTTCTCTTTTTATTTCACAAAATGATGCTTCAAATCTTTCAAACCCTGGGAGGAGAACAGGAGAATGCTTGAAGGAAAAAACAACTAGAACTGTGTGATTCTATCCCTGACTGAAATAACAATAGTTTGCTAATAACTTGAACAAGTAGCTTAGAACATCTGTCTTGACAACAGAAGAAAATACACATATACAAAAATTCTTACAGAATGAGGAAAATAGTGCTTATACCAAGAAATTTTGCACAGTAAATCACAGCTGAAAATTAAACTTGTAATATTTAAAACTTTCCATTTTTAGATAGCATGTCTATCTTAAAATAACAACTACTGCTGCAAGGTTTTCAATCTGTCATCTTGTAAAAATGTAAAAATCTTTGTACATCTGTTATAAATGTCATGGTTTTTTAAAGAAAGATTTAGGTCATTGGAAGACAATTTCAGAAGCACAAAGGGAAGTTTGGCGCTGAAACTGCTAACTTTCAGGCCTGTTAGGGCCTAGTTTCAGCATATATTAGGACTCTACCTGTTGTTTGCAGTTTTTAAAAATCCCTCCTTGTGACAATCATAGCAAAATTCATGCAAGGCACATTTAAAGTCAAGAAGTATTTTTTCACTCTCTTTCCATTCAGTGAGTGTTCTATTAGAACCATAGTGGTGAATAATTTTCTCCTGCATAAAACAGATAGAACATTAAAAACCAGACATAGATTTTAATAGTACTTATTTGCTAAGCTACAACTGCTGACAGAGTCTTGTTGCAGGAAACAGGTAACAAGGCTCTGGTGTCAATTGTGTGCAATCCTGTGTAAATCGACATGCATCCTGGGAAGAAAGGAAAAGAATCTTTGGGCACTTTTACACATGCTCCAGGGATAGGGGCGGCACTTTAATTAAAGTGGCTCTTAATTAAAGCATCCCAGCATCTTGTGTGTTAGTGTCCCCACACTTCAAAATGGCTGCGGGGGCACTTGAATGAAAGCTCATTCAATGAGTTTTCATTCAAGTGCCCCCACTGCCATTTTGAAGCCCAGAGACACTGATACATGAGATGCAGGAGGCTGCTGGAGCATGGTAATTACCATACTCCAGCAGACTCGATTAATCAATTATAGCATGTCAGAGCAGCCTCCACACTTGTGTACAAGCACCCTTTCTTCCTCCTCATGCTCCTTTGCAGTGACTGAGTACAATCCTATTAGAGAGCATAAGCAGGTACCTTCTAGTGCCACTCAAATGGGTCTTGGGGAGGAAAGAATACTTCCATTTCAAGTTTGCTTCTTGAAGAATGTAGCCTGCTTCTTGCAATTCAGCATCACCCAGTGGAGTTAATCTGGCATGCAGGTCTCTATACAGTGCACTAGTTAAAAGAGTAATAGAGCAGCCATCTGCATTCCCCAGAACATCCAGGAGAAAGCCTGACTGAGGACCTGGTCCTGCACACCAGTTGGTCCATAGGCTTCACAATGTTGAATCTGTGATTGTGCCTGCAGTGCAGCCCCACTGTGATTTCTGAATAAATGGGTTGCTGGCCTTTAGTTTTTTAATACTGAAACAAAAATGTAGAAACCTGCATATCAGAAATGGCCTTTAGTTGCAGGTGCCTCATTTTTAAATTTCTAACTTCACCCATCTGAGGCCTGATTTTGAGGACTGCTGAGCAATTGAAGGTAAATGGACTGCACGTGTGACTGGAGATTATTCATGTGACTGGTTGTGGTTTTGCAAATTGGGTAATCATGTGCTTCAGAGCCTTGCTGAATAGCAAGTAGAATTTTGATTCAGGACACCTGGGTTTCCAAAATTGGGCCATATAGTTAGGGCCTGGTTTAAATTGCAGGCCCAGCTCACTAATATTGTGGCCTAATCATGATGGGTGCCACCATTCTCACACCCAGATCAGGGGGCTGTTTGTTTTGATGGCTGCTGCCAGCTGGGGAAAGCATTTGATACCCAACAGCAAAAGCCTAATCAGCCCAGGGGAGGAGGGAGGAAGAGGTCACAGAAAGGACAGGGGGAGAAGAGAATTTGGGGATGGGTAGGGGAGGAGCTGTTTGCTCCTCCAGCTGAGAAAGCTGGGACATGGAGGGTTAGGGGTGCTAGGGCCTGGTTTGGCAGATGACCCTGGTATTAACTAGGGAAGAGGCTGTTTGCTTCTCCACGTGTGTGTTCTCTTCCCCCATCCCCAACCCCCAGCACTCCAGTTTTCCAAGCTTTCTCTTCTCCCTGTCCCTTTTACCCCCCACCCCAACACTCCCCTCCCCTGGGCTCCTAGGCTTTTGCTACTGGATGGGGGATGCTTTTCCCAGCCTGCAGCAGCCATGTTATTGCAACAAAATGCTATGAAATGGCCATATCATGGCATTTAATTGCAAATCACACTTATCATGAGAATCACTTGTTTTTGTGATTTTCATGAAAAATGCAAAATAATGATTTAAACTAGGCCCTATCTATAGGGCACAATGGCGAGTATAAAGAAAGACAGCAATGCCAAGTATAAATGAATACAAGTCACAGTGTACTGATAATTGTTTTTTACTGAAAGAACAAATCTAGAAACTGCAACAAATGGGCAGCATTATAAAGTGGGAGAGTAGAATAGAAAGGGTTATGCTGTTTAAAAAAATTAAATTTTTAATTCTTCCTAAATTTATAGGTTTGTTCTGTAATCGAACCTGGGATGGATGGTTGTGTTGGGATGATACACCTGCTGGAAGAGTCACAGCTCAGAATTGCCCAGATTATTTTCCAGACTTTGATCCAACTGGTACAGTATTTCCTCTCATCTTTTATCTTTAGTATGGTAGACTTTAGAATATTCTTGCTTTTGAAAAGGCACATGCCTCTTACGGTATTTTTACAGCATTGTGAAATCTCAGAGACTTTCAGCAGTGAAATATCCAGCTGTATAGTGATTGCAGTGTTTTTTCTTACTTTAAAGTAGTAGCATGTGTTCATTTGATTTAGCCAATGGATCTCTGAAATAAATGTTATGAAAGCCTCTTGATTAATTTTAATATCTGCCTACCCCTATTCTAGATTGTGAATTGTGAATTTATGAATGGAACAGCATTTATGAACTGTAGTTCTCTTGTCTTCATAAAATACTGTTAGTATTGCTCAGGTTCTCTGCTATTTTCAATTGGAAAAGACAATTTTACAAAGCTATTGAAAGAAGAGGAGCAGAAATAACATTTTATTAAGCCACAGAGTCTCAGAGCTAATGTTTTTTACTGAATTATTTACAAGAATATTTGTGAGATTGTATTTGTAAATTAATATGAAATTCAAATATATTCTGGGGCTTTATAAAGGTTAAGAATGTTAATAAGTAGGGGAAATATTTTATCTGATCAATGAATGTGTGATTATGACTTCAGATAAAGGTTGACTCTCTTTGCAACATCATTTGAAGAAGGACTCAATTATGTTTTCAAGTCTATACCTATTTAACATGGAAAATTACTTTCTACCTCATAGTACTATGGAATATTGGATAGTCTTCAATCAAATTATACCAATCATAACCAATAAAATGTTAACTTTCATAGTTTTTATTTATAACATTCAAAACATTAATAGTTATGTACAATGAGGCTTTAGCAATATGTTTTCTACTATGTGTGGTCTGATTATGAATATATTGACTAATAGGAACAAATTAATACTTTAAATGCTTCATACTGTTACCAAGAGCCATTATTCAGTGAATCTGTTGCACATTTTGCAATATAGGAATTTCCATACTGAGTCAAACCCAAGGTCAGTTTAGATTTCAATCTTTGAAAGCAGCTTTTACCAGATGAGCTGGAAGAGGGGGATAATCCAGTTGTTAGATAGATGTTACAATTGCCCTCGCATACATTTGATCTCATTCCAGTCTCTCATATTTATAGATTAAATTAAGCCCAGAGGCCTATTTAATATCCCTTTCAAAATTATTGTTGTCATTAATTAAAACCACTCTCAATATCCATATAACTATTCAGTCCCTTTTGGAGTGCTATTGGCCTCAATGACTTCCTGTGAAGACAAGTTTCACAGTTTAATTAGATATTGTAATTAATTGTAATCATTGCAGTTGTAATGCTTCTAAACATTGTAATCATCACAATGCATGATTTGGAAGATGTAGTCGAGTGCACACTTAACAAATTTGCTAATAACATCAAGTTGGGTAGAGATAGAGACACTCTGGAGGGCAGGGTTGGGATCTAGACTGACCCGGATAAAATGGAGATAGGTTCAGGATTTCATCTGTTTGACTTTTGGACCATAACAGGCTATTGAGTTAATGTGGTTAATGTTCAGTAATTTCTTAGCCAACAGCACAAAAAAGAGTGATATGGTTAGCATCAGGGGTGTGCGAAATCTCGCTGAGTGTTTCATTTCAAGGCTGTTTCGATGCGTTTTGAGCTCAAAACAGTGAAATTGAAAAAGCTTTGAAATGAGATGGGTTTCAAAGCAGCCTAGTGGCGGGTGGGGTGGCAGGGGAGAGCCAGGGCTGCGCTCAAAGCAACTTCTTCAGCCCCATGGAGCTCAGCCCGGCGGCAGGAGGCGGAGTGGAGCCCTGGCTCTCCCCCATCTCCTGCCACCATGCTGAGCTCTGTGGGGCTCCTGCTGCCATGCTGAGCTCCAGGGAGAGCCAGGGCTGCACTCCAAACAGCTCTGCAAGCCCCACAGAGCTCAACCTGCCCTCCCAGCACTGCAAGACTCCTCCTGGGGATGCAGACCCCCAGATCTCTGTGCGGGATGACAGGAGGCTGCTGCTGCTGCCTGGGGCCACTAGTAGCAGCAGTCTTCCTGGTGCTGGGCGTGGGCTGTGCCAAGCGCCAGTCCCAGCCAGCAACGGCAGCCTCCTGCCATCTGGCATGCAAATCCAGGGGCCCGCACCCCTGGGATGAGTCTTGCATAGCCCCACAGCCCTCTCAGGGGTGTGGGCCCCCGGACCTGCATGCCAGATTACAGGAGGCTACCATTGCTGCCTGGGGCCAGAGGCAGCAACAATTTTCCCAGCACGGGGCGCGGGCTGTTCCCACCGCCAGTCCCAGGCGGCAGCAGCAACTTCCTGTCATCTGGCACGCAGATCCAGGGGCCCGTACCCCTGGGAGGAGTCTGGCATAGCCCCACAGTCACGAGTTTTGCTTTGACACGTTTGAGGTGCAGTTCCCCAGGAACCTCTGCACCTATCTCCTTGAAACTTGGCAGGCTTCATGCCCTCAGCAGGGGCTACCATCCCTGCAATTTGCATCTGAATCGGGAATGAAATGACAGTTTTATGCATTTTCATGATTCCCCATTATAGCCTATGGGCAAAACTGTGAAACGAATCAAAACAGCACAGAACAGTGCTTCGAAATGAAATGAAATGCTGTCCCTTCAGAACATCAAAATGGACATCAAAATGAAATGGTGCTGGTTCACACAACCCTAGTTAGCATCACATTTGATCACCTTTGACTCTATAGTCCAAATGAACAATACCCATTTACAACTCGGGAACTCATGCAGCTGGAGCCATAGTGAGACAACATAGCCACTGTGGCATTGCATCCCACTCCAGGGGTTAGGCATCTAAACATTAGGCATTGCACCCCTAACTTCTAGGTGCACAAGTCCTTTTGTGGACCTAGCCCTACATGGCCAACAGCTTCAATTTCCATTCATTTCCCTATTCTCCATAGCAGAGGTATCATATTTCCTAAAAGAAATGCTGCCATTTGGTGCAATAATCATTTTCAGTGATTCTTTCTAGTGCCATAACTTAGATTTTTTTTGTTGTTTTTCTACCTATTTCACACACCATTTATTATATGTCTGCTGCTTTCACCACTTTTATGGTTTTCATGGTAAGTTAGTAGAAAACAGCCCTATTTATATATAATTTTATATGCTCTTGCAATCATATCAACAACAGATCTTACATAATTTAGAAAACACAAAAGTCTCCTGACATCATCAACATTCTCATTACACATTATCTTCGGATATTATAGACCAACACTTTCCCCAGTTCTCACACCACCTTTTACCAGACTTGAAATGAAGCTTTTCCCATCTAGTTTCTGTTTCCAATGACATGTTCTGAATAAATGGCTCCATTACAAAATGCTACTATATGCATTACAAAACTACTATATGTGCTTTACTGCGGAGTAGACTAATTAGCTGCACAGTAAAGTGTCACTGTCTACACGTGCACCAGTATTAGGGCACAGTAAATTAATTACCTCTGATATAAAATTACACTGTCAGGGATAGTACTACTGTCTTACAGCAGAATCATTAATGCAGTGCAGTGTATGTGTAGACAGTGATGGGCTGGCTGGGGCACAAGGGTGCTAAAGTGCAGGGGCTACCTGCTGCCTAGCCCTGCATTGTTTCTCCCTTGCCCCTCAGCCAGCCCCAACTCTGCCCAGTGCTGCCATCTGGAGACTCGGGCTGGCTCCCTGTACCTCCTGCCAGCCTGGGGCTGCTCTACCCTGGCTCAAATTAATTATTGTGGTCCTGGACACATGTGCAGATGCTGTGCCCAGGAGCAGTTTCTCCGACACAAACTGTCCAGGAGTTTATTGTATCATACTAATTACACGTGCAGATGCGCCCACTGAGGAGAAATACTCAACAAATTGAAGCTAGATCATTGAGATTTTTATGGAGAAAAAAGTATTCTAAAAGATCGCTCTTGCGCTGCATGTTTCAAGATTTGTTGTTTAATAAAGTTAATCAATTTGGTATGGAATGGATGCATGGCTGTGTCCTCATTTACATTTTCATTTTCCATTATATTTCCTTGCATACAATATAATGTTAAAAAAACAAAACTGCCACAGCACAAGGAGATAGAAGCCTTAAGAAGGACAGGCTTGTTCTAACCAAAGCTGCCACTTGTTTATGCTATTTTGGTGGGTTTTGTCTTTGATTTCATTTAATAAATCAGGATGTTTTAACTATCAAGATTGGGTCCTGAAATAAAATTTTAGAAAGTTCAATTCTGAACCACAGATAGGTTAGTGGTTCTCAATTTCTTTTAGACTCAAGGCGCCCTTCATTAGACTCAAGGCACCCCTTGGAAAAAGGAAAGATCTTACCTTTCACTTATTTTTGTCTAAGGAAATAATATATACTTTCTTCTGCTGCAAAGAACTCAGACCACAACAGATCAGAATATTTTAACACTGTGCATTCCTTGTTAAAAATCTCTGCGTTTGTCTTATAGCATCTGATGAAGTAGACTGTTGCCTATGAAAGTTTATTCCTCTCCAAACCAGTTAGTCTCTAAGAGCACATACAAGCCTGACATTTCAACCAGTGGAATTGTAGTTTCCACCAGACTGGATGAGGTTGAAGTGCCAATAGATTGCACCCTGGTGGTGCAGTCAGTATCTTTTATTCATGCTCCTCAGAATGATGATCACAGGTTATTTTCAGTGATCTGGCAAAAGTACTCTGGGTCTCACCCTTTTCTTCTCTCATTCTTCCAAGGGTAATCCCTCAGCCATCACCCAGTGAAGGGACTTTCCCTTCCCTCCACCCTTCTGTGCGTATTCACATTAATGTCCACAGACTGTCTTACCCAGAACAGGTTAGGATCCTAAGTCCCTGGATCTGGGCTTCTTATAGTGGTTCCTTGCTGTCAGCAGGCCAACAGTCTCTAACTACCATGTCTTGCTGCTCCATCCTGCTGCACCATATGTCTTTGGCCTTCCCAGTCTTCTGTTTGGCATTGCTTAAATGGTCACTTAGCCTGGTCCTGTGCCTCTACAC